AAGGTGCTAGTCTGCAAGCACGCTATAGCGGACCATACGTGGTTGTGCGTAAAGTGAGTGACACAGATTACATAATTTCTACTACTGACCGCGTGCGCTGCAGCCGCTTGTGTCACGTCAATATGCTGAAAGAATATCATGAACGAGGTGAAAACCACTCTGTTGCCTTGAGTTTATCTTCTGGTGGTGAGCCTTTACCTGCAGATCCACCCGCAGCACAGTCAGCTGAGGCGAGTTCCTCGGAGGAGCTGTCCAGTCCTGAATCCGATGCTGACCACCCGGAGGAGGCTGTGCTGCGGGGTCGATTAAAAAATTCTGAGATGCTGGTTAACTTGGGCGCTTGTTTGTCACATTTGTCTGTTGATCAACAACGGGACATGGTGGACCTTATTCATTCATACCATGGTTTGTTTTCAGATGTGCCCTCCCAAACGAATGTGTTGGAACATGATATAAATGTCGGTGATTCTCTCCCTATTAAGCAGCATCCCTATAGGGTGAATCCAGATAAAAGAAAACGCCTACAAAACCAAACTGAATACATGTTGCTAAATGGCATTGCTGAGCCCAGTTGTAGTGCGTGGAGTTCACCGTGCTTGCTGGCAGTTAAGTCGGATGGGTCTGACCGCTTTTGCACTGATTTTAGAAAGGTTAACGGAGTCACAAAACCAGATTGCCACCCACTTCCTCGGATGGAGGATTGTGTTGATCGCGTAGGCTCCGCAGTGTTTGTGACAAAGTTAGATCTTCTGAAAGGCTATTGGCAGGTCCCGCTGACTGAGCGAGCCAAGGAAATCACTGCATTTGTGACTCCAGATGCATTCTTGCAGTACACCGTGATGCCATTTGGCGTGCGTAACGCGCCGGCAACTTTTCAGCGTCTGGTAAACAAAGTTTTGTCTGGTGTGAAGGGGTGTGAGGCTTATTTAGATGACATTGTCATTTCCTCAGATTCTTGGGAGGAACATCTAGAACAGGTGAAAGCTGTGTTTCAAAAATTAAATGAAGCCCATTTAACTGTTAATCTCGCAAAATGTGAGTTTGGTCGTGCCACTGTGGTTTATTTGGGTAAAGTCGGGGTAATGGACAAGTGAGACCGGTGGGCTCAAAAATAGAGGCTATTTCAGCATTTCCTATTCCTTCCTCACGACGTGAGCTACAGCGCTTTCTTGGTATGGCTGGGTATTACAGGAGCTTCTGTAAGAACTTTTCCGCCGTCGCTTCTCCTCTCACTGACCTGATGAGTCCAAAGGTTCCATTTAAGTGGTCACCTGAGTGCCAACATGCGTTTGAATGCGTCAAAGCGCTCCTGAGTAATGCACCGGTGCTTGCCGCACCGGTGTACACGATCCCCTTTAAACTGGCGGTGGATGCCAGCGATACAGGAGCTGGGGCGGTTCTTTTGCAAGATGGCTCAGACGGGATTGAACACCCTGTGTGCTATTTCTCAAAGAAATTTAATAGGCACCAAAAGGTGTACTCTACAATAGAGAAGGAGGCACTGGCGCTGATTATGGCTTTGAAACACTTCGAGGTCTATGTGGGCTCCTTTAGTGCCCCAATTGTGGTTTACACCGATCATAACCCGCTCGTCTTTATTCAGCAAATGCGTAACTCCAATCAACGGTTGATGCGGTGGGCCCTTTATCTTCAGTCCTTCTGTTTAGAGGTAAAGCATATAAAGGGTAAGGATAACATCTTGGCTGACGCACTGTCTCGTTCCTACTACTGATGCTGCATGGTGACTCAAAGTCCCCGTGCAGCATTTAAGGGTGGAGGTGTGACGGGTTCCTGTCACTTTTGTGAATGAATCCCTGTCTAATTGCTGTTTTCTTCTTGCAGTTGATTGGCTGGGGAGAGTTTAAAGGGATCAAGCCCAACCCACCAGCGGGCGAGGAAGTTTGGGAGTACTCCTGTGTGGTGGCGTGTCTCCAAGCCTCGCTCCCGCTCCTTGGATGTGTTTTTTTGTTTGTTAATCTTCCCTTGGGTTGTTAGGTCTGGGGACCGTTGGCCGAACTGTGCTTTTCCGGTTTTTGGTTGTAGGGCGACTGATCCGGCAAGGCAGGGTGAGGGGAGCGGCCCGAATCCGACGGTCAACTGCTGGCTGGTTCGCGAATGCTCCCATCCTTTTGTTTATTTATCACGGTTCCCCAGTACCTCTATGTCCAGCCACAGTCTAAATAAAACCTTTGTCTGTGTAACTTGGTCTGGACTTCATATGTTGTGTGCCCTGTGCGGGCCGTAACAGATGGGCCACAGGTGTGTTGGGAGCTCAGCTCAGGAGGACCCACAGTGAACTCTGCTGGAGGAAGGTGGTACAGCTCCAGATCCCAACAATCAGGACCTGCTGACTTATTACGATTCAGTTTGTACACTTGCCTCCATATTTGACTTGTAGAGATACACAGGTGAAAGGTTGAGGGAGCAGCACTATTTTCTGATTTGGCTGATAACAAACTCATAGACACAGGAAAGTCAATGGAAGAGGAGGGCAGGATGTCGATGTGATTTTGGACAAGAAAGAAAGATGCTGAGCTTGTTCCTGAACTGAACCTGTTGAAGAATGTGTTCAGTCCATTGGCTTTGTCCAGACTTCCATCAGTCTGATCAACCTTCTGCTTGAAGCCTGTGATCTTCTTCATCCTCAACCACACATCTCTGATATTGTTCTGCTTGGCTAAACTTTCCTGAACTTTGGAGACGTCTCACCTTTCCAAAAATAAAGATCAAAAGAAGTTACAGGTCTAACAGAGTTAGGAAAAGAGTTTTCTGCTGAAAAACGTCAGTTTTTTTTATAATTTTTTATCATTTCATGTGTTAACTATTGTAAAGCAAGCTAACAATCATGTAATGGTGACCACATGGTACCCCTTGTTGACTTGTTTTGAGCTATTGTTTAAAAGGGAAAACACATGTTATTTTGCGTGTTTAAACACCAATATAAAATATTTTTTTGTGTGTTTCGCCTTGCAATGGTCTGGCGACCTGTCATCATTCAACCTATTCTCATTATGTTATGTACCGTAATTTCGTACGTTTTGGACGTTTTTTTCGTCGTATGCGCATTTGACGCACCATTCACGAATATAGAATATAAATTACAATTAGCTCTAACCCTGACCCTAACCCTAACCCTAAGATATAAAACAGCAAGCAACGTAGTTAGAGACATGAATAAGTGCTGATTGCACTGTTTTTCCCAATTTTACGTCCGTCCGCGGATCTTTTTTTTTTTTTCTGTCTGCCAGCGCATGCTCACTGATGTGGTTTTTTGAGGAAAAACGTCCAAAACGTACGAAATAGTGTGCATAACTTTTCGTACGATTTCATACGCACTGATAATGAGAATATGTTGCATCATTGGACTCTGCCTTTTGCCCATAGACTGCTGGGGTTAGGCACAAGCATGACGGATAAAGTGGTAGAAGATGGATGAATTGATGAATGATATGCCCAATACATTTGATTGACAAATATAACCAAATAGTCTTTTAAGATGAGTATCCTCATGTCTGCCAGTTTCTAGCTCCGTTGTTTCATAAAACAAGCATAAAGAAGTTAGGTGGGACTTAGCCTTAACTATTCCTGCAGAAACATCATAGAAGGTTAAGAATCAATTGTCTGAAAAGTTATTCATTTCTGATGTACCAAATAATGTTTTATTTACCTCCTTGATTTGCACTATGAATTGGTTTAAACATGTTACAATTGCTCCAAATTAGTTAAAAGTCATTTGACCTTATTTCTAACTGTGCAGAGTTAACTGCTTTACCACCATTTGAGCTTGATTTAGACATTCATTTGTGATCCTAACACACATCGGGTTGAGTTGCCAGTGTTCAAGTCATCTGATCAAATAACTTATTACAGTCCAAGTTAGAAGTTATTTGATTAAATGGAATATTTGTGCCCCCCCTCCCAAATGGGCACCACATATAAAGATATGGTTGCATGACACCATCGTCCAGGGATTTCAATTGTAAACCATTTCTTAGGATCTATACTTAGTGCATCCAAAATGGCATAAGCCCAAAGAAAATCTGATTAATTAAATCATGTCCACAGGCAAAACCAAACAATTCCCCTTCATAAAGCACGGCTGTAACACAAGCTCTACCTCATGTTCAGCCCTCTACATGCCAACATTCAACCATAAATGGTCTTTACAGATGGACCATTTATGTAGATGTATTCATCTTTAAATGTTTTAAGTTTTTTTTAGAAGGGAACTTTAGCTGTTTGCTACATTTGTGTGTCTTATCCAGGAGGCTGTATTACCAATTCAATAATCATCTTCCATGTGCATACCCACTGAGCAAGGATGTCCGTAAGGCTGAAGGCTGTCTGGATTCAACACAGCAGTCCAAAGCTTCTTTCACACCCTGCATAGTGTTCTTACTGTTGCTCCCATGAGCTAGGAGCTACAATTTCATGTATTTAGAAACAGCTAAATTTTCTACGTCAGAGATCAAAATATTTGCATGGAAGTCAACATACGCAAGTTTCTATATATAAGCTTTATAAATGAAACCCCAGGTAAGAAGGAGGTTGTCCACCAACAAAACGTAGCCTGTACCGGTTTCCCCTTTCAAAGTCATTGAAGAAAGCTAAAAACTTCTTGTTTAAATTTACTAATGTGTTTGCTTTTATGTAACTCATTTTTTTTAAGTCCTCTAAACATCCATGTCAAAACTTATAAACTGCATTACAGTCATTGTTGTAATTATCAAAATCTCTGGTATGCAGAGCCAGTGAAGGGTCACCCAAATCAAAGGTGGTATCAGGGACTCCAAACTTCTACGGAGAATGGTCATGACTACAAGTGGACTGAATTTTTGCAACATCCCAGCAAAGGCAATGGTTCCATCATTCAATATACTCCTACAGAAGTACCCCATCTTCAATGTTTATTACACACAATTTAATGTTACACAAAAATATTAATCAGCTTCCAGTGTTATTTTTGTCACTCAGGAACAAAAGACCATTATAACTCAACATCATCTTAATTCTCTTTAATCATAGAAATGTGGTTTCATCTCAGAAAAAAAGAAAAATGGTAACTTCTAAAATGCCTAATTCACATTTCAATGTGAATTAGAGTTGAATCAATCTGTCTTTTTATGGTTTCTTTCTGAATAAGAAAAAAAAAATTGGACTAAAATAAGACTGCTTCTAAAAAAAAATAAAAATATTGGAGCCATGGCCATGATGAATTAACCACACAGCTCCTGAACCGCCACTGGATCCCCACACAGTGTTGGACGAAGATGCAGATGTTCCCAGACTCATTAAGGGGTTTAAGATATCCTGGTTCGGGTGACGTGTTAAACATTCGCCTTGGTATTTACAGTCCCTCAGCTTTGTAAAATGCATAAAGCATCATGTTGCTCCGATAAAAAGGGTCTCATGTGGAGAGGATCAAACTGCTCATTTCCTTGGAAAAGGAATTGGAAGTCAGATGGAAGAATAAGTCCGATGCATTTTCACCAACTAGATATCCTACTCGGCTTTCTTGGCCTTCCTCTTGCGAGTGCCTTCGCTCAGCTCCTCCCTGCTTTTGAGTGGTGAAGAAGGAGCAGCGGCAGCAGGAGGATGATGGTTGTCTTCCTCGCCACCGCCCAGAGGAGAGCCGAAGAGCAAATGGCAAATCCAAGACTCAACGAGGCTGAAGGGGGAGCCGTGAGAGTGGCGGGCCGTCATCACCACCTGGAAGGACAAAAAGGTCCAGAGAATATTTCTGTGTCTCTGAATTCTATTGCTCAATGCCCACAGCATGCAGAGAGTCAGCGGATATAAAAAAGATATAAGATAGAAGTGTATCCTATAAACTGAATGAGAAATAAATGTACAGTAGTTTCTTACAAATTTTATGGCACTGAATCAGACTAAATGTCAGCAAAACAAAGATAATGCCTCAAGATATGTTTATTTTCCTAGGTATAAAATTCAGGCAAGATTTTGTCAGAATTTTGCCGAATTTAATTTTAAACCATCATTAACCAACATTTCGCTTTTCCTTCAAATAATTTCCCAGCATAGATTTGGCCACTCCTCCTGACAAAACTGCTGTAACCGAGTCAGGTTTTGTAAACCAACCTCGCTCCAAAACACAATTTTAACCTCTGCAAGCAAACTTTGTAAAGGTTCTACATTTCTGCATTTGAATCTCCCCCCATGATGCCATCTATTTTAAGAAGAGTGTTCCCTCCTGACATGAAACAGCCACCTCCAACATTCACAGCTTTCATTTGAGGTTGATAAGCACATTGCAAGCACACAGACTCCCAGACTTCCCTCTCCTCCAGCGCTGCTAGGGAAAGACAAAGGTGCTCCCAGGCCTGCTGTGACACAAAGACCCTCCGGTGTGTCCCGGGTCGTCCTCTGGTCATCCTCGCAGTGGGTTGTGCCTGTAACACCTCCTGAGGAAGGCCACCAGGGACATCCGAAAAAGATGTCCAACCCACTGTAGCTGACCCGATATGGAGGACTATATGGAGGATAACTATTGAATACTGATTGCAAAGAGCTCAAAGTCTTTGAAGATCTCCTCTTCTTTGCTCTTATCTTAAGATCCTTCCACCGATTATTTATCAGATTCAATTCAGACTGCTACTTTCATTTACAAAGTAAATAAACTATTCATCAAAATCTGCAGGACTATGATTAATTTTGGGCTTAACTGTGTGAAATACCATCTTGTGATTCCTAGTTAGGGTTTTACCTTGGTTGTGGCCATGAAGAGGGTGAAGACCAGGATGAGGGTGCTCTTGGACACTGGCAGCCAGTGGGCCTCCTGCAGGGTGAATAGAATCGCTCCGTACAAGCTGGCTTTAGTCGGGCTAGGGAGAATATAGAGAAAGTATTTATTTATTTTATAAAAGCCATTGCTGTATCCTAAGAGGAAACATTTCCTAAATCTAGAAAAGTTTAAAAGAGACCATGTCCCTTACAATGACATGTTGAGGATCTCATTAGTCTCAGGCCTCCACACACCACGCAGCAGCTGCTCAAAATTGGAAATAAGAGCCACTCCAGATCCTGGGAGGATAAAAATAGCAAGGAAAGAGATGAGGACACAAGAAGGTCTGTTTTTTCATGTGATGGAACATTTTCATGGACCCTGTGTTAAGTCCATCCTTTGATCCTATCCTTTGATGTGTAACACTGATCATATATTTTTTAAGAAGAGATGCATTCCCCAGATTCATTGCATACTCAGGTCACCAGGTCTTACTCTGTACTGGTCAGCTTCTTTCTCCTATAAGTGAGTTCTGTTATTGGTGGGAGCTTTAGATACAGATAAGAACCAAATCAGACGGGTATGAGGTGGAGCGCTGGCATTTCTGGAAGGTATCATAATACCAGGAGTAAATATCTCATAAGTGGTGAAAAAAGAAGCTTAAAAAGCACCAGCCTGAGTATAACTTGCAGGGGACCACAGATACGGAATGATCTCGGTGATGAGATCAAAGTGTTGAAATCTATCTCCACCTTTAAAACATGTTAAACACAAACCTCCCAAATTTATTTGTTTATTGAAATTAGGGCTGAAACAATTAATCGGATTAATCGTGATCAATTAATTATTGAAATAATCGTCAATTAATTTAGTAATTGATTAATCGTTAAGTTTAGAGACTCTAAAACACGCCTATAGCTGACAGAACAACCCACTTAGAGCAGTAATTATACTAACATTGTAAAAAAAAAAAATATATAAACATTTTGCATTAAAGATAAAACAACATTTTAATCTGTCACTATGCTCTATCCAGAACTCCTCAAGTGGAAAACTTTTAGTTTCACCTGATTTAATTTAATTAAAATCTTCTTTAAGGAACCTTCGGCTATCAGATTATTAATCAATTAATCATAAAAATCATATAATTGATTTGCAAAATAATCGTTAGTTGCAGCCCTAATTGAAATATTAACTCCAGCATGTATTTGCTCTGGGAATGGGATGTGTTTTGTATTTCTTTGTTTGATGTTAGGTATGTGGATGTCTTATATGTATGTGCTGTATGTGTATGTAGCTAATGTGCCATATTTCATTTTCTTACTATTGTTTCTTCTTTTTGTTTTTTTCCCTGGCAATTGTACTTTTCATTTTGTCCGCAAGCTTCCTCCTAAAGGCTTTAATAGCTTTTTAGGAGTGCTGATTCATACATGAGTTCTAGTCTTAGAAGATGTACTGAATATGTGTGTGAAAAAACAATGAATAAGTAAATAGATAGAAAAAATACATCTTCTTTTGTGCCCACTGGGATGTATAAATGTGTATGAAACCTTTGAATAAATTTGCAAAGACTAAAATTGGTCTTTCTCAGTTTTATTGAGTGGTGCTCTCTCCCTCTTTGATAAAGACAATCCAAAATGGTCTCAAATCTCTTATTTTAGTCCTTACAAGACCTTTTTAAACCATACAGTAAAGGATGCCACCAGATAAAGAAAATGAGGTTCATGCTTTACTCATTTAAATCCCAAAACTGACAATCATTTTCTTCCTGCAGCTAACTAGCATGGCAAGTTTACCATTTTCTGGTTTAAGCAAAACCAGATCTAATAAATAAAAGGGTCAAAGACAATAACTAAACAAATCTTCTTTTTTAATAATATACAATAATATACTTTTCTCCTAATGTTATAAATGATAATGTTATAAAGAACAGGGTTTCAAAATAATTTCTATCTAAATGAAAAAAGATATGAAAGAGGAGGAAATTGATGGAAAAGGCTAAAGGAGAGAGAAAGGCAAACAAGACAGGGAAGTGTATCTTCAGGCAAGGTTCTGTCTGTACCCTGCAAGAGCGAGTTTCAGCCATAGAGTGCATTTAGACCTCAGCTGAGACAATCTATCATATCTAACACTCCCAACTGGAATAAAAACCTGATCTATTTTTTTCTTTATAGTAAACCTGTTCAGATTCTGTTCGCCAAAACTTTTTATAGGAGCACTTTCAAAGGTATAGTGTCCTTTTTTCAGGTGGGTCATCAAAAATAAGTGGTCCTCCTAATTGTCAATCATTCTGGTGATATATTTACATGAGGCCGTCCTACGTGTTTGTCCCCGTTTTCACTTACAGGTGGTGAGTCTGACATAGTGGAAAAATTACTAATCTTCTTTTGGAAAGTAAGCTTGTATGATCGCTGCAAACAGCAACTTTTAAACAGAGTGAGCTGGAGAAGAAATGGGCTTGTGCATGCTCTCACACGACTTTAATAGACATTTCCTCTCAGGAGCGGGTACGGGTGCATGTGCATGGAAAGTGGAGAGTGTGGATCTTTGCAAAAATTTGTGAAAATTCTCCACTAAACCTTAAAGCGACCATGATTAAAAATGTGTCATTTTCTCCTTCCTAACAAAACAAACAGAGAAATGTGAACAAGTCACTGAAAGCAGGTGAAAAGTATGATAATGTACTGCTTTAAGACTGTAAGACTAATATATAACATCAGAAAAAAGTTTGTGTGATAAGTAGAAAGTATGTTAAAAGTCTGCTTCTAGGTGGAACAGACAAGTCCACACTTCGTTTTCGGAATTGCTAAAAAACAACAACTACAGACCAGTGCTTCAATCACAGTTTCAGAGATTCACTCGTCTCAGTTATATATAGGCTGTTAAAGATGTGATTTTCAGTTTTTCTAGTATTAACTGTTAAATTGCTTTGAGACACTGACGAGCACCAAACACCAACCTTTGACGTATCCAACAATCACCATGATGAAGTAGCCATGGTGGTAGGCGTGGTGGGCGTGGTGGACGCCTGCTGCGATCTTGCGAGTGCGGACGACCTCCTTCAGAGCCACCAGCACCAGCTTGACGGGCAGGAAGGCCACACATTTGTAGAAGAGGTTCAGGGGGCAGTAAAAGATGAGGTACCTGTTTAGAATTGGCACAAAGTTGCAATTTAAAAAAGAATACTTTACTATTATAACTTTGAAGATGCCTTTTTTTAGCACCTTAAATAATTTGCCTCAAACATGCAAAGCTTTTGTCTGAAAGTCTTGAGATCCAAATGCTTCCAAATGAATCTTACTTTAAATGTTTGTAGCTCATAGTATCTAAACACTGTGGCCAGTCTTTAAATCACCATGATGATTAACACAAGTTTAGGCTGAATACACAGAATGACAGGTTTTACTCCAGCTGTCTTCTCACCAGACAGCTGAGGCCAGCAGGATGTGGCTGTTGTATTGGAAATAGTCAACAGGGCTGCTCCCGAGCATAATGTCTGCCAGGATGTAACTACCGAAGCAGTAGAGCATGGCACACAGCCAGGAGGCCACAGGACTTCTGCGAGACACCTCCACTGAGCCTGTAAAACAAGGGTGCAAAAAAAGGGCCTTAAAATAAGCATATCAGAACTTCTGGAAGAAGTGGACCATTAGCAGGCTAAAGAACATTTATTAGGTTTTAAGTGCAAAACTAGTTAAAAAATATTATTCATCAGTGTAAAAAAGAAAAAGAAAAAATGATTGGATGGAAAGGAAAAAAATTTTTTGCAAGTAAAACATGCTTCACTTTGCTGCCACCTAGTGGTAAAATAAAAAACATGCCCTGCTCCAGGTGCACACAAAAAAGTTGAATGCATACTTAAAAATAATAAAAAATCCTTTCTAATAAATTTATTTCTATGCATTGTTATGTATCTAAAATATGTTTATTACCCTGATCATTTAGTAATGATAAGACAGGATCTACAATTGGTCTCGTTTTTATTATTTATTTATTTTTTTTAACATATATTAGCTTGGTTAATAGTTAGTTGGTTTTTCTGGGGATCCACATTTTTTCAATTCCAGTCTGATTGTGACACTTCACATGGATATCTGTAGAACCAGATATTTATCAATACCAGAGCCAGTTTGCTTATCGTTATCATTTATGTTGTTTTTTAAAGAGGCTGTCATAAACTACTCTCTTCAATAAAGTATATGTATGCATATTCACATATTTATCCAAAAAGATTACTTGAGATTAGTATAGGGTAAGAAAAAATACTCATAAAAACATTAAATAAGAGGGACCAGATTCTTTGAAAAAGAGTCAGTCACTTTATCTGGATGCGATTAAACTGACTTCAGACAATAAAGTAAAACATTTTGGTGTTATTTTTGATCAGGTCCTGTCATTTAAATCCCATATTAAAGAGATTTCTAGAATTTCCTTCCTTTATCTGTGCAATATTGCAAAAATTAGAAATATCCGGTCAAGGGGTGATGCTGAGAAACTAGTCCATGCATTTGTTACTTCAACGCTGGACTATTGTAATTCATTACTATCAGGAAGTCCACAAACTGTAGTTAAAAGCCTTCAGCTGATCCAAAATGCTGCAGCCAGATTTCTGATGAAAATTAAAAAGAGAGATCATATCTCTCCTATCCTGGCTTCTTCATTGGCTTCCCGGTAAATCCAGAACAGAATTTAAAATCCTCCTTCTCACACATAAAGGCTTAAATGGCCAAGCTCCATCTTATATCAGAGATATGATAGGTCCTTATGTTGCTAACAGAGCACTTTGCTCTCAATCTGCAGGTTTACTAGTGGTTCCTAGAATTTCTAAAAGTAGAATGAGAGGCAGATCTTTTAGTTATCAGGCCCAGTTTTAGTCCGTGAGGCAGACACCCTGTCTACTTTTAAGGCTAGGCTTAAAACTTTTATTTTTCATAAAGCTTATAGTTAGAGTGGCTCAGGTAATCCTGAGCTATCTCTATAGTTATGCTGCTATAGGCTTAGACTTCTGGAGGACATAGGGACCCCCATTTCATCATTCTGCTTCATTCTATCTCTATTCTACCACTCTGCAGAATCTGTTAGGTCAACCTCCAATGTTATGCTCTCTCTGCTTTTTCTTATAGTAGATTCGGCTCGTCTGTTCCTGTTTGGCTGTGACATGGGAGCTGGCTCGGAGCTTGTCTGCCTGGCTGTGTGTTTCCTGAATGGGGCCGCCTTTTATAGTTGCCATTTGTATCTCTAGTTCTGTCTCCTTGAACCCCAGTCGGCCTCGGAAGATGGCCGCTCACACTGAGCCAGTTTCTGCTGGAGGTTTCTTCCTATTAAAGAGAGTTTTTCCTTTCCACTGTCGCTACAAGCATGCTTAGTGTGAGGGATTGTATTCAAGTCAATGAGTAGATGCAATCAACGGATTTTACTTAGATGGAAAACTTTGAATCAATTTGACTGTATGATCTGGTGAACTGTAAAGTGCCTTGAGATGACATGTGTTGTGAATTGGCGCTATATGAATAAAATGAATTGAATTAAATTGTGTTACAAGAACAAATTCTACCCTGAAAACAGTATGAAACTTTAATACTGCTGCTGTTAAAGAGATTTTAACCCAATTTAAATGTATCAAAGAAATAAGTTGAATAGATCTGCCCTATGAATCAGCCCCATTTACAAGATACCCAAAGTAGAATTATCTTCAATACTAGAACCAGTACAGTATAAATATTGGTGCATCTCTAGACGTTTCTGAAGGTTTACACTCAAAAACAAAACAAAAGCATTACAAATGAATACACATTCGTTAGTCACAACTAGAAACGTATTATCAGTGTTCCCAGTGTGTCCCTGTGAGCGGTATCTTTGTCTACACCCAGTCTTGTGGTTCAGCTTACGCCCTGATTATAAAGCTTCACTATAACAGCATTCAGCTGAACCTGACAACTAACCAGAGGATATGACAGAATTAAAAACTCAGAGAGGACATATAGAAAGGACAAAATAAAGAATTTCTGATTGGCTGGTAATGATCCACTGAAGTCCTTCAGAAGTAACTTGCTCTAAATCCATCCAAACTATAGAGATTATTATGTTTGCTGATATATCAGATATTACATGTTGCTGTTTAAAACAGCATGCAGGTAAAGTGTTTGACCTTGTAGAAGTTTTTGTTCGTGACTGTAAATTTTTATTTGAAAGTTTGGGCAAAGAGGGTGCTGATGTAAAAATAAAATCTACAAAAGTTATACAAGCTTTTAAACCAGATTCTAAATATTTTTGAAACTGTCTTTAAATCTTTGTTCTTGTCTCTTTAACTCTGGTCTGCCTTAGGAACTCTTTACTATCTTAATGTCTCGGTTTGAACTCATTTTTTATTGTATTCTGAACATTTTATATCTATTAGTTTATATTGTCTCTTTGTAGTGATGTTGTTGAAACATAGGTTGGAAAGAAGCTGGATCCCAAAGATGAGTTTTTCTACCGGTTTAATTTAGGATAAAAAGTTTTAACAGGTTAAAAAAGGCTTCCATTTGGGTTTGTGGTCTGGTATATGAAAATAATAACCCCATGGAAAACAACAATGCATACAACAATGGCAACTTTGGACATGTAAATTGCAATCAAATATAAAAATAAAACAAAAATTGTTGAGCTTTTAGATTATGTGCATTTTTTATTATTATTATTATTAAACAGTGTGTGAGTCGGTGAGTAGGCCCTAGAAGGATCCCCGGGATGCTCCGGAGATCAGCCCTAAACACTTTCAGAGATGGTTCCTCATCCAGAGTGAGACACGGAGCCTGGTTCTGCTTGAGGCTTCTTCCTGTTAAAAGGGAGATTTTCCTCTCCACTGTCGCTACGTGCATGCTTGGTTTGAAGAATTCCCTTCGAGTTAATGAGTCGATGCAATTACTGTAGCTGGTTTTCCTTAGATAGAAAACTTCAAACCAATCTGACTGTATAATCTGGTTGAATTGTCTCTGTAATGTGCCTTGAGATGAAGTTGTGAATTGGTACTATATAAACTGAATTAAATAGATGTACCATTTAGATTTATTGTTATAGAGGAAGTGATCATGATGCCTCTAGAGATTTTCTAGTCACATACAAAAGAGAAGTGAGCCAAGAATCCATGACTTCATTCATCTTGGGTCCTCCAAAATTAGCTGAAGCGTATTGGCATGAGAGGACAATCACACCAAGATTTTATTTATATCTATATGAACATGAATCCCTGGAAGGAACTAAGAAGAATATTTCAAATGTGCACACGTGAGGCAAACGACAAAAAGCAACATCTTTACAGATAACAATTATAGACTTGTTGCTGCTTCGACATTCAAACTGAGCTGCAGGAGCAAATGCTCAGCAACAGGTGGGTGGGTGTGACATGGTCTGACTGGTGCTCAGTGTGAGAGCAATCTGATCTTTAACATGCTGCTCTGCCTATAAATACATTCATCTGCAGTCCTCCTCCCTCCTCAGGCCTGACCTCTGACCTCACACTCATACTTGTCTGTCTTCCATCATTTTGGTCCTAAAGACTCATTCATGTTCTCCTGCACTAAGGGCTCGTCGTCTCTGATGGTGGAAAATATGGGTAATCTCATACATGCTGGCGTGGCAGCAGAAGGTATTTGACTGTCAAATTACGGCTATGAAAATAAGCTCACGTTCAGGAGGGCAAAACGGCCGCAGAGAATTAACCGAGGAAACACAAAATAAAAACTTTTATAACTGCTTTATATATAGCAACCAGCACTTACTTCTACTTCTTGACAGTTTTTCATTATTCGTTGGTGTATAAAGGGAAAATCCTGCCACCCAAATTATTAATACGGCACCAAGTTACATCACTAACAAGAGTGGATATATTTAAGTTGTAGCTGCAACTTGTTGCAGTTTTTTTTAGCAGTGTTCTCTCAAATTTTGACAGACTCAAGGGAAGCCATAAAGTCAATATAAGGTAAAAGTTTATCTACAAAAGCATCTCATTATTGCATCTATGTTAACGTTATCTTCAGCAGAGGTTTGCAAACTTATTAAAAGAACCAGAATTGAATCATGTCCCGAACTGTTGGTTGAATGTAAATATTCAACCAACAGTTAACATATACATTTATTTTACCCATTGGTACAATAGTAATAAAAAAAGGCATCAACAACAATTCTATTTGGTTTTATCTACTTCTTAGTCATGTTTCTATAACTTTAAATACAACTTTCAGAATCAATGATCTACAGAAGAGATTTACTGTTATTCCAAACCTGTATCACAATCTCCAGGGTGTTTTCTTTACAAATTAATATCCATTTAAGTCTTTCCAAATCACTTCAACTTTTATTTAGCTCTTTTATTTAGCTTTTTAGTTTTTCCCTTTTGTTCTGTTCATTTATGTTGCTGTATTTATTTCTTAGATCTCTGCTGATCTTTCCCCCCTGGTTTGTACCTCTATTCACCTTCCTTTAACTCTATTCATCTTAATTAGTCTCCCTCCTCAGGCTCCATGCACTTTTCTCCTCTTGTCTGGTATTAAGTTTTATCCTTTGGTTATAACTGAAACCCTTCAACTCACCACACAGCTCCCATGTTCCTGTCTGTACTTGCGTCCTACTCTCACACCACAAACTGACAGCTTTCTAATCATGCAAAAAAGTTGTTTTTATTATTATTCATGCTCTTTATGTTTAACAGTGGAAGTGCAAACCAATGTAAGCTGAATAATTATGTGTTTTATACCACATATAATACTTCTAAACAGGCAAATATGATTAACACAGCAGTGTTTTGTATATAACATTGGCTGTGTTAACCCTTTGTAACACATTAATAACAGAAATATAGCAGTGGCTGTGAGTATATTCTCCAACTTTAATTGAACCTTTGGTCAGAAAGAAAAGTTACCATAATTAAAATGGATTGAGCTTTCGTCTTAGTCCTGAAACCAAAGGATTATATTTTGCTCCATTATGCTATTTCATTCAAACTGTGCAAGGTGCTACAAAAAAGATGTTAGAGGAATCTGCTCTACCTCATTTTATATGTAGGACATGTCACACTGAAAGAAAAGGGAGCAGACATGGCTTATACTTTTATGTCTTTTGACTTCATAGAAAGGAAAATCTGTTTTGGGATTAGATGTATTCTTAATGTTTGAGCCTGCAGGGATTAGCAGACCTCACTGAGGCCCAAAAAAGTGTAACACAGTGTCTTCAGAGGCACATAAACTCTGTCTATTTCAGGCTCTTCTATTTATTGCTGGCATGCACATGCTCTCTCCTCTCTCAGGTTTCACTCTTCTGCAGGCTCCCTTGGTCAAATGGGCCAAAACGTGGAGAAAAATCAACCCATATCTGAGAGGCTTAGTTTACTCTACAAGAGTTGAGGTTGCAGCTTTAACACACAAGGTCTTTAAAAAACCGAGATCAGCTTTAGAGGCACTGCTGCAGTTTATGTAACAGGTCATGCTTTATAAGGAAAGGTTAAAATCTATCTGCAGGACTATTCAGCTAATATGAGGGCTTGTAGTAGACCACCAATGCTATAATTTGATTCCAAATATGTCAAAGATTCAACAAAGTTATTATTATTATTATTATTATTTTTTTTTTTTAGATCCGTTGCAACTGGGTCATATCACGGACTTTACATTTTATTTCTTATCAACTGAATTAAAGATTCAGCTTGCAAAAAATTATAATAATAATAAGTCTGTCAAAATCACTCACCTGGTTCATATTTGAGATATAGGATGGAAACGATGTAATATGCGAGATCAAATACAGGAAACATTCCCATTTTGGAAAACATCTGGGCAAAATCGCCCAAATTCAGAACTGCCAGCACGTTTTCCATGTTGCCACTCTGATGAGCAGAAAAATCCCTTTGATTCCCTGGGTTATAATTGTTATTAATTGTTATTAATTGTCCACACTGCGCAGTCTGGATAAGAAGCCCCCTTCTAGCCCACCGACTCTCCACCAAGCCCCCTAGTCTCGAAAGTGAACGCCTGCGACGCTGGAGCGCTCCTATTAATACCACCCATATCCACCGCGTCTCCGCTTCATCCTCATCCTCTTGAGCGCTTCATGCCAGTTGCTCGGAAAACAAACGCCTTGTCCTTCTGTCTGGACTGCAAACAGCTGCAAACTGGGCCACGCTAGGCTGTTTGAGGGTTAATGCTGCTTCGGATCATAATAAAGCGCGAGGCACGTGTCCATGCGTAATGTGGACAATTTATTCAGTGGATCAGAGAAAAACAAGCCTAAATCCATTTAATTTAATACCCAGCGTTTATATAAATATTTTTTCGATAAAACCTAACCTACCGACTATGGAAAGAATTCTACTGATATACTTGGGTGGTATAAAATTCCCGATATCTTTTATTTTATAATGAATTCATTATTTGTTTATCTTCATTTGCGACAAATGAAAATAGCATTAATATTCTTGTCCACTAGATGGCGACAAAACACCACTGGTTTCTCCAAAATTCTTGTGAGGGTAAAAAGTGCCTCAATGAACATACAAATGTGACTAAAAAAAGATAATCTTATCTATTAGATTTTTAAATACCACATTAAGAACATAAAAATGTGTAAATATATAAAATGTGTAAATAAATAATATTAGCATGGTGTTTTTATTAGTAGCTTATATATATATGATCAATAAATAATTAATTCTGTCATATTTTTATACTCTGTTTTATCCAGTAACAGAAGTATAAATTCAATTAAATTCAGTTTATTTATATAGCGCAAATTTACAACACATGTAATCTCAAGTCACTTTACAGTTCACCAGATCATACAGCCAAATTGATTGTTTTCTATCTAAGGAAAGTCAGTTGATTACATCGACTCATTGATTCCAATGCAATCCCTCACACTAGGCATGCTTGTAGCGACAGTGGAGAGGAAAAACTCCCTTTTAACAGGAAGTAACCTAGAGCAGAACTAGGCTCAGTGGGAACGCCCATCTGCCGAGGCCGGCTGGGGTTCAAGGAGACAGAAGCAGAAATACAAAAAGCAACAGTAAAAGGCGGCCCTGTCCAGGAAACACACAGCTAGGCAGATGAGCTCTGAGCCAGCTCCTATGTCAGAGGATGAAGAGAGCACATCCAGCCAGTCACAGTCAGAGAAACAGGACTACACTGGAAAAAAAGGCCTATCTCCAACATCTATAAACAAAGGTATTGATGGCAGCAGCACAGCTGATATTTCTCTCCAGGATGTTGTCACAGGCAAACAGGAACAGATGAGGCGAAGCTACTATGAGAAAAGGCAGAGAGAGCATAACGTTAGAGATTGAACTAATCTATTCTGCAGAGTAGGAGAATAGAGATAGAATGAAGCAGAATGATGAAATAGGGGTCCCTATGTCCTCCAGAAGTCTGAGCCTATAGCAGCATAACTTTAGTGAGTGTCTGCCTCACGGACTAAAACTGGTAGTTGGTTCCACAGGAGATGAGCCTGATAGCTCAAAGATCTGCCGCCCATTCTACTTTTAGAAATTCTAGGAACCACTAGTAAACCTGCAGATTAGTATAATAGTATAATAATATTATAATTTATGACATCAATAAATTGTTTAGATGATTAATTTTTTCGTCTCTCTAGATTTACAATTACAGCTTAAAAGACCACATAACATGTCATTGATTTAAAGCAATCCTATTTTAAATAAGCTTTGCAATAATTAATGATTTTCTTTGCCTAGGAGTTGTAAATAAATATTTGGATTAATCGATAAAAAAAAAGATTATTTAAATATATGTAACAAAGGGGCAAAATCTAAAATACAAGTCTACCAAAAAAATTAATGAAATCAGCCTCTCTAAATGATATAACGTGTGTTAGATGGTTTTCTTTTGGTGACTATACATAGCTTTATTTCCTACCTCATATTTCCAATGTACAATATGACTTCTTGCTTTGGTCTAATTTGTTAAGGTATGTTTTTTCTTAACTAATTTCAAATAGATATAAACCCGAGCCGTGCCTTTAAGTCTTACCTCAGGACAAAGCTGATCAAATACGCTTCATTGACGTCCCGCAGTCGTATTGGGTACCACCCCGATCACGTCACGATACCCGGAAGTCAGGCGTTTTGGGATGTGAAGAAAATGCTGGGGGATCTGTTAATATTTGGGTAATTTATGAATATAATTTCTTCTTTTTTATCGGCAGAAAATGTGTTGCCTACCAGTTTGTTATGAGAATGTAGCAGTTTATTGCTGCTTTTGGAGAATATCGATCAATCCTGTGAAACGTTGCTGCCAACTCAGCAGCTAGCAACATCATTAGCTCTCTAGTGGACATTTCCTCACAGTGAACATTTGTGAATCTCTGTTGTCTTTAGGACGCTGCTGGTGAACGCAGGGGCAGTGCTGAATTTCAAGCTGTAAGTACAGGTGCCTCTTTAACTGTAAAAATGATAAAGAAGAAGTTAAATGGATGCAATAGTCAGGTAAAGGCTAGTAGCTGATGGAGTGTTTGTTTTCTGTTAGAAAAAGGAAGGAGGCTCATGGGTTTGGAGATGAGTCTGGAGCTCCGACAACAGGTCTGTATTTATGTGTAGGAGAAAGTAAAGAAAGATGTTTGATATGCAGCATAAGCAGAGGAATGTTGGAAAATACATAGCACTACAGGTTAGCTACAAAAGTATTTTAAAGTTTATGTATTTAGTAAGTAAAATTGAAGTGGGTAGAGTACCCAGAAATTTTACTGAAGTAAGAATAGCACTATTTCATCTTATTTCTATTTAAGTGTAAAAAGAAGAAATTTATGAAATCACTGAAGAAAGAGTAACAAGTATTTGGTAACAAAGGTTACTAAAGTACTGAGTAACTCATCAGAACTTTTCATATTTAAGATTATGTAATAACGGCAGAAAATAGTAAAGTTATGAGGAAATTTCTTGTATGTTACAGACTATAATAAACTAATGATTAATACATTTAAAATATAGAAAATCCAGGCAGAAGAAGCAATTTTCTAAACTAATTTTGTTTTTAATGTAAAGCTTTTACTGGTGAGTTAATTTCCTGAATAACCTTTTTTTTGGGATAACTTCCGTTCACTTGTTTATCTGGATATTTTTCTATCCCTCCTGTCTGCTAACAGGTGACAACATCAGAGAGTTCCTTCTCAGCCTGCGATACTTCAGGATCTTTATCGCTTTCTGGAACATCTTCATGATGTTTTGCATGATCGTGTAAGTCACCCTCTGTTTGTCTGTGCACACAAAAAAATGGTGACATGCAACTCAAGATATTTACCCTAAGAAATAATCAAATGTTATCTTATTTTAAACCTTTATGATACTTCATTTTTGTATCCTTTAAATGTCATGCTATATGCCTATACATAATGGACCATAAACATTTTGATTTGATTAAAAAATTATTTAACCAAATGTTCATCCTGATAGTGTTAAAATAATCCTCCATACGCCTAAATGGAATACCAGCAAAAGGCACAATGAGCAGAAATAAAGAAACATGATGCCACTAGCGGCACCGCAGAATTACCAGAAAGCCAGATTGTTTGATATGAACATCTAGTGAATATTTCTTGTGTTTGACCTGGTTTGAACTTTTCTACTGTTTAAAGACAGCATTTGAAATCTTTGTAAGATTCAAATTTTCTAACCAAGCAAATGTTGTTGTTTTTTTTTGCAGACTCTTTGGATCATGATCAGCGTTTTCCGAGAAAGATGTTTCAAACATCTTCGTAACTGGACACTTCTTCCCCTCTGACCTTTTTATTTACAAAAATGTTATATGCTTATATCATCCAAATTGTCCCCGTGTGTCATGCCGAATCGATTATCCTGAGTCATGTTTATTTTCTTTAAAATGATGTACCAATTTTCTTTTTAGCCCCAGCTAACCCCCTCTGTTACCGTTTTATTTTTAAGCAAAATGTTCCTTGTTCTTGGTTCTCAATTCAGATAGAAAATCAATAACCATAAAAAATATCAGCACTTCATATGTAAAATGCTGTATATACGCCATATTGTAAAGGCCCTCATTCCTAATTAAAATAATATTTTCCAGTTTACAGATGTTGTTTGACTTATTAGCTGCATCATAAAGTAAAGCTACCAACGAATTAAAACATTTGATTTTCCAATATTCCTTTTGCCTATGAGGGCGAAGTTTGTTGTTTATTTCTGCTATTTCATTAAATGCTGTAAAGAATGTAAAGTATGACCCACATAGCTTTTAGTTTATTCCCCATCTCTTTTACTATGAAGGGATAAATGCACATCTCCTGTCATTCTCTGTAGCACAATGTTTGGATTTAAAAGTGTTATTTATAATCAAAAGCAACAAAAGCATATTTGCATTCTTAAAGATTAAACATCGCATGTGAGATCACAAAACTGCTTTTTAAGAGGAGTATGCTATGATGAAACTTAAGTTCTTGTCAAAAATTGTTTGGTAAATGTGACATTTTGAATCTGCAACAATAAAAAAATATTTTTAATCTTTTTTAATTTGATAAATGAACAAATGATACACAGATTCTTTAGGTCTTACAGCATTGATATATTACCTTCAAGGATCCTCTTTGCTAAATCTAATTTTTCTGATTCACTAAATATGCATTGTTGAGTATTTTCTTAAAATATTCCTTTATGTTTAGTTGTTATTCCTTGAATTGTTTTATCCAAAAATTACAAGTACTTGGAGATTTCAGAATGCTAAGCAAAGTGTTGCCACTAGGTGGCATAGTATTTTAAGCAATTTAATGAGTTATTCTGGTTCATTAGTATTATCTTATGGGCCTTTAATATGGAAAGATTTCCCCTTCTAGAACTGAAACAGGATCCTTGTTAATGCAGAACTCAACTAGTAAGAAACAGAAGTAGTACTTCTCCTGGATATACCTTAGGCTTTTACACGTTTCTCATCCTGTGCCGACC